TCCATGGCTGTTTGTGGACATTGGTGAGCCCAAACTTGCTGCCACATTTCTCCACAAATTGGAGTCAATCCACTTTACAGCATATCCTGTGAAGTGTTTTCAGACACCTCAATAATGTGATAAGGCTCTATATCAAATGCGAGGATTATTATTTATTATTCATTTAAAGATTTACTGAATTGTTATGTAGATTGTTACTGGTGTTGACAATTTTATTTTTAGGAAATGGGAAGATTCAATTCACTATCAGTTTCACTGCCGCCCACTATACTCTTCTTAGGCTAATGGTCCTTTAGCTCATTCAAAACCATTATAAATTATTTGACACAAACCCATCTTGTTTCCATTGTTTCAGAACTGAGCAAACACTAGGCCGAGCACCAGATTTAGGCTAGTTTTTTTTAATTTTCATTTTGCCCTCACTATTTAATACAGTTGAATATTATGTGCAGGAATCTTAGATATTCTACACATCCACTTAATTGATCTGTAAAAGGTATTATGGGTTATAGATACGTGGATATAGTCCACTAGAAAACCAATGTGTAAACTCGTTTATTTTCGATAGAATTAAGGAACGTGTAGAGCAAAGAACAAGGCCATTCAGGCATAATGTCTTAGTTGGTGGTAACACACTCACTGTAGATCGAGACCCATTCTCCTACTCTTTCCCATGCTTTTTAGTAAATTAAAAAAACCTTGAACAATATTTGCTCCAAGTTTTAAATAACATCATATTCATATAAAGCTACAATTATAGTTCTACAAAAAACATTATAAACACATGTGTTTTGATTATATCAATTGATATATTTGCAAATTCAAAACAAAACTTAATATTAGTTAACAAAAGTCCAAATAATAGTTACCTCTCAAAATTTGATGTACAGTATACTTTAGATTAAATGTTTTGTTCTGAGTTCTTAATCATGTAGCATCAGACTCTATCAACATATATATTTGATATATAAAAGCAATAACTCATATGGTTAGCTTTTTTGTAAATTGGTGTAATCCTTGATAAATGCTAAGTTATCCCTGGACTGTTGTGCTCACTACATAGTTGTAGAACTAGGTGTGCAGATATTGAATTGTGCAATAAATAAATTTATGATAATTAATAAATACAGAAAAGTGATTGAGATATAGTTGACGGTAAAAGGAAACAGTTGATTAAATAAATCTTAGGATTTGGGTTTGCAGATTCCATATCAACTATGATGCTAGCAATGATTGCAATCCATGTCCATCAATTCAAATTGTTACTGCAATTACAGCATTGACATATTGGTGTAAATGTGGCAGGATATTTGTACTCTGATTCAAGAAAGCAATTCCGCAAATTTCATGAACAGCTCAGATGACACCACAGAGCAGCAGCTTGTGACAATTAACAATGATTGTAATGTGCTGAGAACTTGAAAAATCTAAAAAATATATTTTTAAAATGCTAGCTCTACTGAAACAATCCTGTAGGTACTTAGAGTGGAAAAAAAGTAATCTATTTGCTGCAATATTCATTCAAAATTGCATTGATTTAATCTTTTAACAAGGTCTTTAAAATTTCCAATTGATAGTTGATTCTTTTTCCTGCACTACAAAGTAGCTACCAATAAGTTACGTATATCAATGAACAGAAGGGACATAACCAGACGATAATGCTTACCTGGATCAATCTGAATTACTTAGTGCCTGACAACAATCTGTTTGTTGGCAATTATTACCATAAAATCTGTATTCTAGGCAGCAACATAAGTGGCATCAATTGAATATTTGTTATAGATCTCCTATCAAATAATTAATCAAGTTCCTTACACATGACAAGTGGTACCACAGCATGCTGAATTACCAAATAAAGCATTACGAGATTCCTTGAAGGAATTTGACAATTTGTTGAATTTCAATGCATTGATTTAACCAATCACACTTGAGGAATTAATTGTATGTTTGTTTTTAAAAAGACTGATGTAAGACCAATAAGTATACTCAAGAGTATTTCTTAATAATATTTTACATCTTGTATTCAGATTAATTCCTATCTTATCAAATTGATAATTCTTATTTTTTCTAAAAAGTAATTTTCAAAAAATGTATTCACAATAACCACAAAGCATTTTATCATGGGAACGGAACAGAAATGGTATCAGATGAGAAGCTGGGATTTAAACAGTTAAGCATATGTTCTAATTTGAAGAAAGGGCAAGTTAATCTTTCAGTGATACAGCAATCTGTTCTGCAAATATTTATCTTACTTCAAAGAAAGAGTGTGATATGAATCCTGCAAGTTGTGGATAAAAAAAAACAGCAAAGCATCTTGAATAATTTTCCACCTTAAATATATATTGGGATTTATTAACCTCAGAAATACCTCTGGTAAGGATTCTACAAATAGGTTGCACTTTATTGCGCTAAAACAATTAAAACCAAATGGAAAAAATATAATAAATACTGTGGTCCTATAAGTGAAATAAATTTAGTGCTTCTGTAGCATTGCTGGCATTTTTTTTGTCAGCAGGGAAAGGAGATCTCTATTCCCATTATTAGTGTTTTGCTGCATTGCACTAAGGCCAGGAAAAGAGGATGGAACACATCTGTTAATATGTGCTGTAACTGCCTTTCTCCAGAGATACCGTTCTCCATTAGTATGTAAACAGCAGAGATTGAAATGAAAAAACAGTATTTTTCTGATAAAATAATAGTAAACTCAACTATGCCTACACCAAACTGTTTCATTTCATCAATCCCAGGTCCATCTTAAGTATGTCATGGAAGTTATTTTGATCAATTCCTATTTATAGTAGTTAAAACTGAACAATGCAGTCAGGCAAAAATAGGCAGATGTGGTGACATAATAACAGGCAGGATTTCAAAGAAAATTAGTAGAATGGTGCACAAATTAAAAGCACCTTAAAAAGGAAATGTAGAAGCGTGCTTTCCAGTGACCTGAAGTTTTGCTTTGTATGTGAAAATTCAATGAGATTCAATTAAATTTACTGATGTAACTGGGTGAGTAATACGTCAGTTTGTCTTTTGCAGCTGAATTGCTTGGGGGTATATCTGCTGTTAGCAGTATGTATCAGAAAAACACTGTTCAATCTACTGAAGTATTTTGTTTACCAGTAGAAAAGTTACAATGTAATTGCATTCATGACTTGAAAGTTTGCTTCTGAACAGCTAACAAACTGACTAAATGACTCAATATTAATTCACACGCTGTATATTTGAGTGAAAATTGTGACAAGTGCTGAAACAACCCTTTATGTACTACAGCAGTATTAACAAAATACACCTTAATACAACTTCTTCAACCTGTTCAAAGGAGCCCTGTAAAGAATGGTGAGGAAAACAATTGTGAAACCTGGCTATTTGGTCACATTTAATTGTGAAGACTGCCAGACTTGTAAGACATTCTGAAATTTTATTTAAGGCCAATTAATATTGGGAAATAGCTGACTATTGACTAGTTCATGATACAAGATTCATTCAATTCAGTTGATTGTAATACTAAGGATTGGAGTCTAAAATACAAATATAGAGATCCTTTTAAGCCTTACAATCATTGACTGTTTAATTGCACAAATCAAAAATACTGCTGCTAACCACTTTGGTGACCTCTACTGGGGATTTTAATGTAATCTCGACAATCAATGCTGCAGATCCACCTCTGATTACTTCTTTTAACGCCAATTGCTTCATATGATATATCATATCAGTACATTAACCATTTGCTCTCCAATCTTAGTTGCTGCTTGTAGCTGCTGCATGAATTAGCAAAAAAAACTGCATTGTGGCAGCAAATAACAAATGTTACATCTTGAGTAATAATAATAATAATGTATTTTAAGTGCATTGCTTTTCTGTTTGGCTTGATTGAACTTAAAGATTCAACGCATTAACATTTTGTTTGTTTAGATTTGAAATGCTCACAATATTTGTGTTTTCTCAAACTATAAAACAATTAAATATTTACAAATAGCCTTATAAATAGCCAGTTCCAACATCTGGTGGTGCAATAAGATTTCCTCTTCCAGTGATTTATCTTTACAAGGGTATACAGACATCAGGTATACAGTTCTACAATCCATCATTTATCCCTGCATGACCCCAGTGCTCACAGGGATTTGTGCATCTCTGAAAATGAATATGAAAGACTCTGAGACCTCTTCTAATTTAAAAGTGCAGAATGCATACAAAGACATCCACTTGAAGAATAAGAGCTTCATATTAAAAGTAGGGGTGTGCTAGCCTTGTAAGGATTGGTGGAAAGCCATTTCAACTGTAACTTGTAGACTGCTGAAGCTGCAACTAAACCCAAATTGTGGAGTGTACACCACCTATTATACACAATGATCTGCTACATCATGTCTGCCCATGCCGGTTGCAAGATTGCAAATGTTTGATGCATTTTTATACAACATGCAACGTTTCTGATGTCACCCAGGAATAAGCAACATGTTTTGGTTTGAAGGGTTGTCAGCGCCTTTGGACTTCCTCCCAACATTAAAGGCGCTTTTACAAATGTAAATTTGTTGTTGTTGTTTGCAGGTCATTTTTGTGTGGCTAAAATTAGCTCTTTATTTCAAATTAAAATACCTGGGTTGAAGGTACAGTCTCACATGGGAATGAAGAACAAACTTACTAAAATACTGTGAAGTATCATTATTTTAGTAAAAATACAATATTTTTCCAGACATGGGAATGTTATGAAATACTATACTATCCCATCAAGGGGCCATGAATGTCAAAACATTTACTTATGCCTACTGCCACCATTCGCCAGACCAATTGCTTGACACAAGATCTTCAGCCAGGTGTCCTTGAATCTATCAAATGCAAGTGTTTTCAGTGAACAAATCAGTTGCAGTGCACACCCCTAGTTCAAATATCCATTCAAGGTGATAATCTTGTGCCAAGGCACTTTCACCTCAAACATTTATGGAGAACATAAAGCAAACCTCTGATAATCTGAAATAAATACTGTGTATAAACAACTCTGTAGTTCAGAACTGACTACACGTTGTCTGTTTTTCAAGAACTTCGAGGTAGTCCGGCTCAGCGTGAAGTTTTGCTTTAAGTTCCAGATAGTCATTTCTACTTTGCTCAATATATACATTACTGGGGGCACCATAGAGCACCGGCTCCCTCAACCTTTCTGGATGTAGATACTGGCGCCTAACTTCATAGTTAGGCGAATAATGATAGCTTGGTGGACTACCATAGTTATAGTCAATGTTGTTCCCATTGGGTGATTCATTCTCAGGTTCTAAAATCCCACGGTAGAAATGCTCTACTTCTTGCATTGGAGAGATGTCCTCTCGCGGCTCAATAGTGCTGATGCTGTATGTGGGGCTTCTCAGCTGGTTTTCTCGTTCCTCATCTATGTGGTTTCTGTAGGTAACTTTCAGCTCGTGTAGATCCCTGTAGTCATCCACTGAATTGCCCTCCCTGGATCTGTAGATGGGATTCTTGCACATGTGTCCCAAAGGATGGGGGATGAACTCGTACACGTGGCTGGCAGGACTCTTGGCTTTGGGGGTTGACCTGTGGCTGTAAACGCCATAGTGCAGATTGAAGGAGCTCACGTCGGAATTGTTGGTGCTGGTGCGATCGCTCTGTGCTTTTTTGCGCCTTTTCATCACGACCACGAACAGACCCGCGGCCACAAACACAGAGGTGATGAAAACCAAAAGCAAACTGAGGATGAGGACGGAGAGAGGCACGGAGCTGGTCTCTGCTCTGACCTGCAGTGGGGGCGGGGTGGTGCTGCTGCTGGTGGGCTCCGGGGTCGGGACAGCAGTGGGTGAGGGGGTAGTTACAACGATGTCAGAGTAATCGGGACAAATAAGATCCGATGCAATCGCTCTCACGTCCTCCCCTGTGAACTTCTTTGGCGACTGGCAGATCACATCGTTGATGACTGCGCCAGTGTTGAGTTTCTCCAACCAATGCTTCATCCCCACTATGTTGCACCTGCAATCCCAGGGGTTTTCGTACAGGTCTATCTGTATAAGGAACTTCAGGTGCTCTAAGACCCCCACCACGGGCAGGGAGGTGAAACGGTTATTCCTCAGGTTAATCCTGGTCAGATTCAAGCCCGAAAAGACGTCGGCGGGAAAAGAACGGAGCAGATTGCTGTTCAAAAAGAGCAACTGCAGGTTGGGCACCACCTTGAAGGTGCCGAGCGCGATGTCTTTAATGGCGTTGTACTCGAGGTACAGGTATTGCAGATTCCGCAGACCGTAAAATATCTCGGAGGTCAGTCTGTCGATGCAGTTTCCATTCAGGTAAAGTCGGCGCAGGTTCGTCAGATTCACGAAAGCGCGATCTTGGATGGTGGCTATCTTGTTGTGGCCGAGGTGCAGCAAGTCTAATCCCGTGGAATCGATAAAATCGGATCTGCGGACGATCTGGATGTGGTTTCCTGTGAGGTACATCTTTTTGGGGTTGTAGGGCTTTGGCTCCAGCTCGGTTACTCTCTCGATCTTCTTCTCCTGGCAATTGACGTTGAGCCCCAGATCCGAGATCTGCAGGTTACACGTGCATTGCCGGGGACAGACTAAAGGCACAGGGGATTTGGTCTGATAGGCGATGATGGGTCCGTAGTTGTATCCTTCCTTTGCGGTGGGGCCTCTGGAGATCGGACGTTTGGGGAGGCGAGTGCTTTTAGGGGCTCTCGCCGGAGACTTGGGCGAGAAGGTGATGATGGAAGTGGCCGGGGCCGGAGTGGTGTAAAAATACCCATGTGTGGTCAAAGGTGGCATAGGTTTCCAATCGGAGTCGGTGCTCGTTCTCCTGGGGCACAATTCTTGCTTGGAGACCTCATCCAGGTCTCTGCCGTGCAGGCGGAAAGGTGTCTCGCAGACCACCTCCCCGACCAGAGCCGTGTAGGCGATGCTCTCCAGCCAAGCCTTGAGGGCGATCAGATCGCAGCTGCAGTTCCAGGGGTTTTCCTCCAACTGCAGTTCCACCACCCGGTCCATGTGCTCCAAAAGGCCCGCGTAGGGCAACATCTTGAGCCGGTTGCCCCGCAGGTCGAGGTGAGTGAGGGGGACGTATCTGAAAACGTTGCTGGACAAGCTGCCGAGCAGGTTGTCGTTCAAGATCAACACCTGCAGCATGTGCAGTTTGCTGAAAGTGCCGGCTTCGATCCAGCTGATGTAGTTGTAATCTACCTGGAGGTATTCCAAGTTCTCCAGCCCCGCAAAAGTGTCGTCCCTCACCCCTTCCAGTTTGTTGTTGTTCAGGTGTAACCTCCTCAAGCCTCTCAGCCCGTGAAAAGCTCCCGCCTCGATCTCCTGGATGCGGTTGTTGCCCAGATGCAGGATGGAGACGCCGGTGAAATTCAGCAACTCGTTCGGGTACAACCTGCTCAGCAGATTCCCGGTGAGGAACAAGTGATAGACGGGGAAGTGCGGAGGGCTGATCTGCACGAGGCTGGCGATCTCTCTGTTTTCGCAACCGACGATCAGCACCTCGTCCCTGTCCTCGCAAGAGCAGAGGCTCTCGCAAACGTCTCCGTAGCTGTCGATGCTCTCAGCCCAGACGAGGGCGAAGGAAGCGAATGCCACGGTTTGCGTTACCCACACGTACATTTTCATGCCCGGGGTTTGGGCTCGGGCTCGGCTCTCGCTGTTTATTCTCGTGCTGGTTTGCAGCCTGTCACCTTTCAGGAGAGAAGAAAAGAGTATAAATACTTTGCATTTGCCAACGATCGCAAACGTCACAAAATACGATTTTCCCCGTCTCCTTGGCTCCCCACTTTTAAGGGGAGGGGAGGGAGGGGGGAGGGAGGGGAGGGGGGTTTATTTCCTGACCAGAGACGCGGCTGCTCGAATTGGCATGAGACTGCCAACAGATCGCTGCAATGACGTGGAGGTCATCAAGAGTTAAAATGACATTCCCCAAATAATTCCACGGATCCCACTATGTCTCCTCGGCTTCTCAATCCGACCCTGGATCCTCGACTGGAAGTCCAATGCATTCGAGAGGCAGCCGTGGTTTTACTTGAAGAAACGCACCCAGTGATTAAGAATCCACGAGAGATATTCTTACTTGAAATGGGAAAGTTGCATCGAGTCAGCGGTGAGATTACAAGAAAACACACGCATTGCCTAAAATGTGCAACCCCCCCCCCCAAAAAAAAAAAAATGCTACTTTGATTTTAAATCATCCCGAGACGTCAGGCTGATCAATAGCTGCCTGTCTATATGCTGACTGAAATACACGAACACGTTGATTTTTTTAAAGGCTGTCTTTACCGACTAATGGATCAAAGCAAAAAAAAAATGGATTGCAAAGGATTTTGACCCCTAAAAAAACATGCGGATGCGTCTCACATAAGCCAACACAGGGAGCCTGTGATTCCCGAGTCCAAGCTACAGAGCGCAGTGAAAGGCTATTACCCTTATCTCCTTGACATGAAAGATGACAAAGTGACACTAAACGGCTGGAAAAGACTACACATGGCTTTATATTTAATTTGAGCCGAATGCAAAGCTCTTTTTTGACCGACTTACCCAAGATCTTCAGCCACTGTTGGGTTTGCAGACAAACCTGAAACACTCAGCCATATCTGACATAGCGTTTACACCCAAAATGTTGCAAAAGCAGTCTGGTAAAAGTAGTTAGTCTGGAACATTGGTCATGGATAAAGCTCATCGCCAATGTTACAACACAGGAAATGCTGATTATACTCGGCGATGGCTGTCGCAGTCCTTCATTCTTCGGGGGTAAAAGATACCCAAGTTGATTAAAGGCAAACGAACAATGTGCGTCAGTGATTTAATGCTCAAATTTCATCTACAGTCGGAAACAAATCCGATTTCCTGGCGCTTCCCTCTCTCTTTTTTNCTGATTCCGCCACTGCGTACAATCTCCGCGAAATCCCGACCCACTGAGGCTGAAAACCACTTGGTTTCGAGCACATCGTTTTGCATTTCCCCCTTGAAACACGAAGGCTGCACTGATGCACACCATGTAATGCAATGTAACCGTAGGGGTGGGGGGAAAGGGAAAAAAAATATTATTCCCTATAGGAATTCCCCTCTTCTGATTTCGGAGGGATTCGTAAGGTTCCCCCCTCGGTTTGTGGATAATTTTATCCCCCACCGGTACCTCGACACCGCACTTCCATTCCTCCCATTAAAGTTCCCCAATTCCATCAGTGCGGAAGGCAATGACCTGTCACACTAAACTTGGCGACTGGCAGTAGTGAAGCGATCGCAGCCGTGGCTCGGGAGAGGCGATGCCCCGCATCAGATGCCTCTCCGGGTTCCGCGATGTGTTTCTTTTTTTTAATGTCGGGTTTGCGTTATTTGCCCAAAGCTCTCAATGCCTCGATCGCCAGGTCCGGCACCGAGAACCACACACAGGGAAAAAAAGGCTGCCTTTAGCTGGTCAGGACCACAGACAGCGAGAGTTCATTTAGACCTTCCTCACACACTCACACACATACACACGCCGAGCCGAGCAGAGCCGAGCAGAGCAGAGCCAGACATCCTCCTAATGAAATTAGAGGGTACCTACCCCGCGCTCTTGAGAGATCATAATATAACAGGAGATGGTGCGTTTCCGGCTACGATCGGAGTTAGTTGTTTTTTTTTGCTATGCGATTAGGAATCCTTAAAGTGGTCCTTCTGCTATTTTTTTGGGGGGGTGGGGGCTGGTGGTGGTGGTGGTGGTGGCGATGGGGGGGGAGGTTGTGGTGGTGGTGGTGATGGGGGGGGGGGGGTGAGGGGGAGGTTGCTGTGCTGATACAGACGCTTGGGTTTTGCAGACTGCTTCACGTTCGTAACGTGACGGTCAGCTGGACGCTGGGCTGTGCTTCACTTCCACCAACTTTAACAGGCAATCACAGCAGAGTGATCGCCTCCCGGCAACACAGCCTTCCTCTCTGATCCCCTCTCTTTCTACAGCACTTTTTGGTCTAAACCGACACACACACACACACACACACACACGCACATACACGTACAGATACGCTTTGGACTGCACTGTTATAATTGTGTGCATTAAAAATAAGGCTAAATCCAACTCGTCTCCATTTACCTACAAATCGGGTTACAGAGATAGGGAGGGTTTGTCGGGAGTAATCCACTGTGGGTATTAATGCAGAGTTATGGAAACCCCTCGGGGAATGTGCGATGTTGTTACCGCGAATCCTTTTATTAATCTGTTTTTGTCTTCTAATTCCCCACTGTCAGTGGCCGGTGAACAGCAATTGCGAAGAATTAACGTTAATCTGCATCAGATGCAGAAATTCGGAAAATAGTCTTCAAATTGCAATGAAACACTGAAGCATTTTTTTTTACCCCCCCCAAAATAATAAAAAAAATGATATCTACACCAGGAACGCCAGAGTCTTCCACTTATTTCGAGTGATGTTCTTTCCTTTGGTCTTGTTCGATGCTGTGATATTTTCCTTCATTCTTCCAAGCCTGATTATTTCCTTATTTCTAACTGGGTCATAAATCAGCGCTAATAAACCATTTGTAAGCGAGGCAGTATTTAGTGCACTCAGCAGCGCTGTTTGTCATTCAAGTAGCCATTTCCTCAACACCAGCAGCAAAGGAAAAAGCAAACATGCTCACTTGAACTGACAATGTCAGATGCCAGTAGATGGCAGTGCAGGGTGACAGATGTGAGTATGGACATGGGGGACTCCACACATTTGACTTTGCTGATTTTCAAGCAAACATATCAGGTTTGGTCGGTACCAGTTGATATCACAATGGATTTCCTTAATCTTCCACATGATCCTATTTTCAATACATTTACCACTACTGCGAAAGCAACAATGACAATAAAGGCCAAGATTGTTGCTTAATTAGAGTACTATGGTAAGGAAGAAAAAAAACTATTTTCTTTCCTGCTTTCCAGCAAATGTGTAGTTTTGTTTATATATGCACAGTGTTGCCGTCAGTAGAGCAGGTGTCAACTGAGTGCATTCACACTTTTAGTTACTTTCAGGCAGTGTTAACCCTGTTGGATGGATGGATGGACTCTTGGGGAAAGATTTAAAAGCAGGAGAATGTGATTACAATGGATAGCTCCATTGAGATAACTAACATCAATATACATATCACCTCCACCCCCACCGCCCACACACCCACACAAATATAGATATCACCTCCTCTCCCCCCACTCCCCCCTGAAATGCAACACCTGCCCATTCACCTCTTCCCATATCATTGTCCATGGTCCCAAACACTGTTTTCAGGTGAGACAGCAACATGTACTTACATGTACTTCCACCAACTTAGTATATTGTATTCGTTGCTCACAATGTGGTCTCCTCCACATCAGGGAGACGAAAGGTAGATTGGGTGATCATTTTGCGGATCACCTCTGTTCCGTCCATTGAGTTGCAACCCGAGTTGATTTGCTTTTGTCCACAAAATCCACTTTATGGCATATCCTGTGAAATGCTTTGGCACATCTTAATGATTAAATGCAGGGGTTATTATTATTATTTTGCTAACTCCCTGTTTTAATCTGTGTTCTATTTTGGTCACCATGTACTGACCCAAAATTCAAGAACTGCGTGAGTGTTACCAATGCTCAAGATCATGCTCTGTTAAGTTCTGTTTCTACATTTCCTGTCCTTCTTAATAAACATGAAGTATTTCAAATACTTATTTTAAACTAATACATCATAAAGTCAGTATGGAGGATCCTGGTACCTTTTTTCATCTGTGCTCTTGTCCTCTCCCTGTTAAGAGGAAGTGCTAACTGGGAGTATTTTTTTTTACATTTTCTCTACATATATTTTTACAATTGCTATCAAAATGCACTATTGGATTGTTTAATCACTTTCAATTACCTTCCAAATTTTCTCTAAATTATATTGACAGCATTTCCCTGCGCGAAAAATACATGTTTTATAATAATAATACAATAATAATAATAATCTTTGCATTTGATACAGCATCTTTCACTTCAGAGAGGCATATCAAAGCACTTTATTTAAAGGCTCAGACATGAATAATAATCTTGTAAATAGTACTAGTGGCCATCGGTACATATGCAAATATATCCCAGAATAAATCAGCAATTTAGGAGAGGAGGGATTGGAGAACAAATGTTAAAATTAATAAAGACATCACTTTCGAAAATGTGTAAAGTAATTCATGATTCAGATAATATCATAAACAATATGGGAAAGGGTCAAGGAGTTTTAATGTTATTTAAACTTATGAAAAATGGGTCCAACCAGCCATGGGGCTTTAGATCCAGAAGTAGTTCAATGCCGCAGCATTATGACCCAGTTTTATGAGTGCTATTATAAGAGATTGTTATACCAGAATAAGCACTGTTATACCCTTGAAACATATTGTTTTTTGTGTTTTATTGTGATCTATTTTTTTTAATGGAACATTAAAGAAACATAGCAAGTTGGAGTAACACAGAATCTGGAAGAAGAGGTTATTGATGAATGAGAACCAATTTGAAGGAAATGAAACAATTGTCTTGGTAGTGCCAGTCCAGGTAATTGGAATCAAATGGTACTCATGCTCAACAGACTCATACTGTAGTTTAATACTTGAGTATACTCTCTGGGATAAATTCTAAATAAATTATTTTCAGTTTTATT